CGACTAATATACCATTACGTTATAATATTTGGACAATTAGAGTTTTGGAAAAATGTGTTTTTGTAGTTATTATTAGTTATAACTTTTATTCTAATAATAAGTGAAAACGTAAAACAAAAGAAAAAGCAAATAGATCTTAAAATTAAAAAGCATAACTTTAAAATATGTGTTTCCAACAAATTTTCAATAGCTATGAATTGAGTGGTAAATAATAAAAATAAATAAACTTAGTATACTAATGAAAACTTAGTAAGAATCAAATAAAGATTTATCTTTAAATAAATTTTACTTTTTTAGGCAATAAAATAAAATAATAATAATAAGTGAATAATATACCGAATTATTGCAAGCCAAAGTAGTGTTGATCAACAAATTCCAAACTCTCTGCGGAAAAAAAGGGAATGAAACAAAATTAGCCGGTGCATATACAAACTATACAGAGTAATATTTGAACTTATTCAGACACAGAAGTTGGTACCATAGTTTCCTAAAGCATCAATGATGCGAATATTTAGTATCAACAGAATGTTCTCATCTGATTTTTTTCTCCATGGACATATCTCTTAATAAAAAAAATTATCAAGATTTGTGAACATCAACATAAGTTAAAGAAACAATGTACATCAGCATAGCATAATCCTTACTTGCAGGCTATATGTATAATCTTAGCAGTCTTTTCTCTCATAGCAGTACTGCCAACAGTACAACCTGTAGCCCCAACAATTAAAAACAGATTCTTTGAATCTTCATTCATTCCATTTCTAGAGTTTGGAACAAAGTCAGGCAAACATGAAAAAAGTCCTTGCAATGTTGATTCAATACGTAGGAGAGTCACTTTCAAGTGCTCTTTCTCATCCCTGCGTGACTCACATTCAATATAACAATTAAGAACTTCCTTCATGCAACACTACCATCCCAATATCTGCATCATGATCACCAGATTTTAACTATGTCATGTCAAAAGGGAACTCAGATAATTTATCTTACTCAGGATGACGAGGTAAAGTATAAACTACTTGAGACATGGGTATTTCTCATACCTTGGTCTGCATGGATTTTAGACTGACATATTTTCAATTGATCATCCAAAGCTGACTCGAAGTGAATGTCTATTAGCTCATTTGCAAAATGAATTTCTTCATCACATGGAATATGCAATTTTGGGATAAAGCTTTCCTTAGTCAAAAAACCTTTTGTGCTAATCCATTCTTCAAGGGCAACAACGTCAGGGTGACTAAGAACACACCTATAAAATAAAAAAATTAACATTTGAATTTCCAGAGAAAGATATAAAACCAGAAAATGAGGGCAGATTGCAAAATGAATTTCTTCATCACATGGAATATGCAATTTTGGGATAAAGCTTTCCTTAGTCAAAAAACCTTTTGTGCTAATCCATTCTTCAAGGGCAACAACATCAGGGTGACTAAGAACACACCTATAAAATAAAAAAATTAACATTTGAATTTCCAGAGAAAGATATAAAACCAGAAAATGAGGGCAGAAAAAACTAAATAAACATAGTCAAACACTTATATATGCATACTTATACTAATCAATTGGATAATAATGAAAGATCCATAAGTGAAAGATCCATAAGCTGAAAAACATGAGAGATCAGTGTTAATACACTCAGACAAGTCCATTAAAGTAAAAATATCTACAATAGCACATCAAAAGTAACAAAACCCTACGTACCTTCTTCCTCGTATGAAAAGCTTTACTCTGTTCACCAAGTTCCTCCATGACACTACACCAAAACCAAACAAGGATAAACAATATATCAATAACACCCATAAAATAATAAAACCAATAAATGGTGAAAAAAAGTAGAACAAAAATAACACATACCGAACAACAACTAAAGAGTTCCAAACAAACAGTCAAATGACTACGGAATCGTGAAAACGCTCACTTTTTCGGTGGTCATTGCAATCAAATCTTCGAAGGACGAACAATGTTCACCCGGTGAGCGGCGCCGGTGAGAGAGAAGTCCTTTTCTCTAGAGTTCTCTTTATAAGGTTACCTCAGAATCCAATTTTGAAAATGACAAATGAAACCCTAACACTTGAAACTCTGTGAAATTTTGACACATGACCAGTGTCAAAATGTTGTTAAAGTGGTTGTTAAAGTATCATTTTTCATTACTCAGTGCTACTTCTGCTTCTACTGTGCCTCTCTGGTTAGATGGTAGCAAATCATACTTCCACATTCCACGTTCAATAAAGTCTTCAATTCTTCATTGTGATGGGTTGCAACTTAAATACGGTACCTAACCGTTTTCCTCAATTACGTCTTGCGCTTCCGAGCTGTCAAATTTGCACAATGCATCATTTTGAGGTTAATTAGGTCTTGTTCATTTACCCAGCGATACTGAAATTTCTTCACATCCGCCGTAACAAAATCCTCGTAAGCCAACAATGAGATAATCGACCTCAACCTGAAAGGATAATGATGAATACCACGTTCGTCCATAGAAACCTCTTCATAATGTAACCACATGTGATCTCTTCTAAAATCCATTGGAATTTCTTCATGGTCTAGACGAAATATTACGCAACACAAAACACCAATAAAATTATTGTCATGCGGAACGGGAGGTGGATCAACGGTTATGTTTTCTTTGTCCAGGTATTCTATGTCCACGTTCACAAACTCATTGTTGAACAAGCTCGGTATTTGACTTCCAGGTATAATACTTTCTGGGAATAGCCATCGGTAGGTCGCCTGGTCGTAGTAGGTCGCGTAGTGGTAGGTCGCCTGGTACCAGAAGAGTTATTGGTTAGTAGTTGTTCTCTTAGACAAAAGAAAAATTAAAAAGCAAGAGGAAGGAAAGAGCATCCACACCTCAACAATTTGAATTGCCCATGAAAAACTCTTTGTAATGCACAGTTCATTCTCAACTAATTCTGGGCAGCCGAAAATGATTAATCCTGTACTTTTACAACTCAATAAATAAGGCCAAACAAGTATTGGAGCTGAGACTCTCGACAGCTTGAAATGTTCTAAGGGCAAGACAGTTCGTGAAGGGAGATCAGGCAAGTATTTCAATCGCTTGCAATCCTGTAGGTTTAAAAAAGACAGTCTAAAAAGGTCCTTGAGGTTAGGCAATTTAACAAAATTGTTTCCCTCTAAATTTAGCCTCTCTAAGCAACGTAACTTTCCAATGTAATCAGGAATTTCAACTAAGCTACAGAAGCTTAGATCGAGTTCACACAAACAAGAGAGAGGAGAGGAGGGCGACAAACAGCTGATCAAGTGCTCTGTGTTCCTTGTTTCATCTAGTAAGACATCCAGATATTTAAGAGAATTCAGGCCCAATATAATATTGGATAAGATTACTAGTTTTTTGCAGTGTCTCAAATTCAAAACAACAAGCTTTCTCAGACTCCCAATCGATGGATTGAGTTTTTGGAGCTTTACGCATCCTTGAAGATTTATCCGTTCAAGATTTAGGGCCTCTGCTACATCTGGCATCTCAACTAAACTTTCGCAAAAAGAGAGATCCAAACGCTTCAAATTGGGTAACGGCTACATAGATGGGCAAAAAAAAAAGAAAACAAAATTAATAATGGCACTTGGGTTTTCTTTAATTTCTTTTCTCCATAAATTAATCAAAGAATAAAGGAATTAAAAATAAAAAGTTTGTCATTTATTTTCTTTATTTTAAAAGAAGTACAAATAAATTAATTTACACTACCTTTGTGCCTTCCCACAGTCGTTGAATACTGCTCTTACTTAAGATTAACTCAACTAGTTTGTGTGGCTGAAAACTTTGAGGCAAACACTCATACGGATATCTGTACCAAACAAGATATCCTAGTTCATTCGAAAGATGACTGAGACTTCCCGAAAAGTTCACGTTCGCAACATAAAGCAATTTCAGGTGTTTAATTTTTGATAGACCATCCGCCTTGATTCTTTCGTCTGTAAACCAGTTGCATGATTCCGTAAATTTAGAAGCAGTTTTGTAATTGTTGAATTGTCTATGATAATATTAGGCAGTTTCTCATTCAACAAAACACAGGAATTTCTTCTTTCNTTGCAAAATGAATTTCTTCATCACATGGAATATGCAATTTTGGGATAAAGCTTTCCTTAGTCAAAAAACCTTTTGTGCTAATCCATTCTTCAAGGGCAACAACATCAGGGTGACTAAGAACACACCTATAAAATAAAAAAATTAACATTTGAATTTCCAGAGAAAGATATAAAACCAGAAAATGAGGGCAGAAAAAACTAAATAAACATAGTCAAACACTTATATATGCATACTTATACTAATCAATTGGATAATAATGAAAGATCCATAAGTGAAAGATCCATAAGCTGAAAAACATGAGAGATCAGTGTTAATACACTCAGACAAGTCCATTAAAGTAAAAATATCTACAATAGCACATCAAAAGTAACAAAACCCTACGTACCTTCTTCCTCGTATGAAAAGCTTTACTCTGTTCACCAAGTTCCTCCATGACACTACACCAAAACCAAACAAGGATAAACAATATATCAATAACACCCATAAAATAATAAAACCAATAAATGGTGAAAAAAAGTAGAACAAAAATAACACATACCGAACAACAACTAAAGAGTTCCAAACAAACAGTCAAATGACTACGGAATCGTGAAAACGCTCACTTTTTCGGTGGTCATTGCAATCAAATCTTCGAAGGACGAACAATGTTCACCCGGTGAGCGGCGCCGGTGAGAGAGAAGTCCTTTTCTCTAGAGTTCTCTTTATAAGGTTACCTCAGAATCCAATTTTGAAAATGACAAATGAAACCCTAACACTTGAAACTCTGTGAAATTTTGACACATGACCAGTGTCAAAATGTTGTTAAAGTGGTTGTTAAAGTATCATTTTTCATTACTCAGTGCTACTTCTGCTTCTACTGTGCCTCTCTGGTTAGATGGTAGCAAATCATACTTCCACATTCCACGTTCAATAAAGTCTTCAATTCTTCATTGTGATGGGTTGCAACTTAAATACGGTACCTAACCGTTTTCCTCAATTACGTCTTGCGCTTCCGAGCTGTCAAATTTGCACAATGCATCATTTTGAGGTTAATTAGGTCTTGTTCATTTACCCAGCGATACTGAAATTTCTTCACATCCGCCGTAACAAAATCCTCGTAAGCCAACAATGAGATAATCGACCTCAACCTGAAAGGATAATGATGAATACCACGTTCGTCCATAGAAACCTCTTCATAATGTAACCACATGTGATCTCTTCTAAAATCCATTGGAATTTCTTCATGGTCTAGACGAAATATTACGCAACACAAAACACCAATAAAATTATTGTCATGCGGAACGGGAGGTGGATCAACGGTTATGTTTTCTTTGTCCAGGTATTCTATGTCCACGTTCACAAACTCATTGTTGAACAAGCTCGGTATTTGACTTCCAGGTATAATACTTTCTGGGAATAGCCATCGGTAGGTCGCCTGGTCGTAGTAGGTCGCGTAGTGGTAGGTCGCCTGGTACCAGAAGAGTTATTGGTTAGTAGTTGTTCTCTTAGACAAAAGAAAAATTAAAAAGCAAGAGGAAGGAAAGAGCATCCACACCTCAACAATTTGAATTGCCCATGAAAAACTCTTTGTAATGCACAGTTCATTCTCAACTAATTCTGGGCAGCCGAAAATGATTAATCCTGTACTTTTACAACTCAATAAATAAGGCCAAACAAGTATTGGAGCTGAGACTCTCGACAGCTTGAAATGTTCTAAGGGCAAGACAGTTCGTGAAGGGAGATCAGGCAAGTATTTCAATCGCTTGCAATCCTGTAGGTTTAAAAAAGACAGTCTAAAAAGGTCCTTGAGGTTAGGCAATTTAACAAAATTGTTTCCCTCTAAATTTAGACTCTCTAAGCAACGTAACTTTCCAATGTAATCAGGAATTTCAACTAAGCTACAGAAGCTTAGATCGAGTTCACACAAACAAGAGAGAGGAGAGGAGGGCGACAAACAGCTGATCAAGTGCTCTGTGTTCCTTGTTTCATCTAGTAAGACATCCAGATATTTAAGAGAATTCAGGCCCAATATAATATTGGATAAGATTACTAGTTTTTTGCAGTGTCTCAAATTCAAAACAACAAGCTTTCTCAGACTCCCAATCGATGGATTGAGTTTTTGGAGCTTTACGCATCCTTGAAGATTTATCCGTTCAAGATTTAGGGCCTCTGCTACATCTGGCATCTCAACTAAACTTTCGCAAAAAGAGAGATCCAAACGCTTCAAATTGGGTAACGGCTACATAGATGGGCAAAAAAAAAAGAAAACAAAATTAATAATGGCACTTGGGTTTTCTTTAATTTCTTTTCTCCATAAATTAATCAAAGAATAAAGGAATTAAAAATAAAAAGTTTGTCATTTATTTTCTTTATTTTAAAAGAAGTACAAATAAATTAATTTACACTACCTTTGTGCCTTCCCACAGTCGTTGAATACTGCTCTTACTTAAGATTAACTCAACTAGTTTGTGTGGCTGAAAACTTTGAGGCAAACACTCATACGGATATCTGTACCAAACAAGATATCCTAGTTCATTCGAAAGATGACTGAGACTTCCCGAAAAGTTCACGTTCGCAACATAAAGCAATTTCAGGTGTTTAATTTTTGATAGACCATCCGCCTTGATTCTTTCGTCTGTAAACCAGTTGCATGATTCCGTAAATTTAGAAGCAGTTTTGTAATTGTTGAATTGTCTATGATAATATTAGGCAGTTTCTCATTCAACAAAACACAGGAATTTCTTCTTTCACAATACAACGTTTACATACCTATAACATCATCGTCCCATGTAAGAAATATTGCCTCAAGGTTTCGAGTTGCCTATAACATGACACATTGTTAGATGTATGTTTTGAAGTATTTACAAATTCTAAAATAATTGCAATCTAAAATTTATAATCAAACACGTAAATTTTACCTCGTTCTC